ACTTCGACGGCAAGCTTTGAACTAACGATGAAACGGATTGAAAGGCCGAGCACGAACCGGTAACGATGAACTGAGTCAAGCTTATATTCTAATTGAATTTGTTTATGCCTCTCTCTCTTTATATATATATATATATACAAACACATATACATATAGACACATATGTATATATATAGAAAGAGGGGCGCACATATATGCAGATTGCAGGGGACTGAATTGATGTTCATGTTTCATGATAGTATTGAAGTTGGACTCTGTGCTTTGATCAATCTCTATCCCAGGCTCTGGAATTCTGAAGGCTTATCCATTTACACATCTGGTGGTATGGTAGGACAATTGATGAGTTAGTACTATTTGTAGTTGGTACTTGAATTTTGAAAATGGAAACTGGAGATGGGTCATTTTAAACTTGAGATGGCGACGATGTGTGTGGTCGCATGACCTTCTTGCTGCCGGTGTTGATGGGGAAAAGCAGACAATCACAAAGAGATATGAAGAGAGAGAAAGAGCAATTAGAAAACATGAAGAGAGAGAAAGGGCAATTGGGTCATTTCATAACAAATTTCCATGTCCACGTCAGCTTTTCATAAAACTCTATTTATTTAGAAAACTGAAGTTTGAGTCCATCTTTTTGGCCTTTTACCTATAAAACTCCATTTTTTTTTTATAAAATAATTCCTAATTTTTATATAAAAAATCACCATTAGTAACTATAATTTAGTACTATAAATAGGGTTTTACAAAAATTTGGAAGAACCAACTTTCGAGCATCTCCAACCATTCTGATATGTCAGAGTAGATTTACAAAAAAAAAATTTGTACTACATATTTTTAGCTCCAGCGGCTGTTTTATACCTTTGTATAAAAAAATATCCCCCAATAATAATCAATCACGTCTCATATATACCCAATGCCCTACATAAATTTTACAAACCTACTTGATGCACTTTACTTTTTCGCGATTAAACCTTATGTCCCAATCCTCCTCAATTAGGAAAAACATAATAATTTCTTTTTATATTTCACTTTCCCATCCCGCCAAATGCAAACCTTTCTCGCCGCCACCAGAATTCTAACTTAATAACAGATAATAAAATAAGATTCAAGTATGTAGAAACTACGTGATTAATATATATATATATATATATATAATCTTTGGTTAGTACATTTTTATCTCATTAGAATATAATGTAAAAGATAAAAAATCTAAAAAAAACCCTAGAATCTACGGCGATGATTGTAAAGGATAAGATTAAACGAAAGTGATGAATCAAACTATGTTTATTAAAAAAAAAAAAAATTAAATAAAAGATGGTCGAGCAGTTCTTACCTTGCCGCCAGTTGCAGATTTTTCTCTATGGTGCTTTAGAAAAGTGGGAAAGAATGAGGCGTAAAGGAATAAGAGAGAAAAAAGAAAACCGAGTGGGTAAGGGGAAGAGAGAGAAAATATGCTTACATGACTGTTTAAAAATACGGTATAAAATACACGACCCTTTTACACATTGGTAATGTGGCAGTGTATAACAAATCATATGTGACAGTGTATATTTTACAAAAAAAAAAAAAATTTACAAATCATATGTGGCAGTGTATATTTTACAAAAGAAAAAAAAAAAAAATTTAACAGACCGCTGGAGATGCTCTTAGTTTTTAAAAAAATTATCATTAATAACTATAATTTAGTACCATAAATATATTTTGAAAAAAAAATTGAGGGGGGGAGGGGGGGTGTGATACCCCCAGATTTCCGGATATGGGTTGGCTAGGCCCACGCCCGATAACCCAAGGATATCAAATCAATTAGCAATTTAACGAACACAAAATACAACTCGGGTCAGGCTCACATGCAAGTTCTATCCTAACTGCAATCCAAACAGTGACCCGATACGCAGATACACCCTAGATATCTCAGCAATAGTTATCTAATCCATACATATATAAATATCCACACTAAGGGACATTCACTGGACTATGTAGGGGGTCTCAACCTGAATACAAGGCAACATACAAAAACGCACCCAAAGGTGGGCATGAGTACCTAGACCTAACAGGGTACACCTCAACCTATTATAACCAGCTACGCATCCACTGCATATACGCAACCTAACCAACGAGTCTGAGACTCAAGCTCAACTCGTGGTACCATAAACATATATATAAAGTCCGTCCAAATCCAGGGTATGCAGTTCAACTATTTATTAAACTGACATACAATAAACCAACTAGTTAATCACTCAACTTATTCAGTTGATATGACTTAACTACCATCCGTTAATCTAGGAAGTCATCCAACTTGGTTACAGCTGATCTGACTTAGTCACAATTAGGATTCGATATCTTTCAATCCATTCCATTAATCCATTAGGTTAGGTTTATGCGTTTTGAGCTAAACCGTCCCTAGTATGTCACCGTCCCATACCGGTACATACAATCCTCCATATACATGTAAATTACAACATATATAACAGTTCAATAATTTACAGACCCAAAAACCACCATCCAAATAATTACAGAAAAATATTTAAAGCCTCAGCAATTTAAATCCAAGCATTTAACCATATAGTTGCAGGAGACGATTTAATAAATCAACAACTAACATCCAGAGCATGCATAGACCAAATTTAATATGTCAGGGACTCCATCATGCATGTGAATAGGTTAAATAATCCTATTATTATCCAATAAATTGCTAAAACAATTTCAGAAGATTGTTTAATATTTCAGCAATTTAAATCCAAGCATTAACCATATAGTTGCAGGAAACGATTTAATAATTCAGCAACTAGCCTCCTAAGCATGCATAGATCAAAATTAATAATTAAATGACCTTATCATGCACTTGAATGCATTCTAAAAAAAGTTTTATAAACACATTATATTCCATCAAATTGCTGAAATTTAATTCAACAATTAATTTATCTTCCATTTGTTAACAACATAGGGAATGTCTTAATTTTTACACTGTTTGCCCCGACAATTTAGAATTAAACCCTAATCAATTTAAGGTCCTAATAACACCCAAATTCAGCCTTCTAAACTCTCTGTGGAACCCCAGACCTAACAGATTTAAAACCCATGCTCCAATAGTAAGCACAGTACGTAGAAAATAAAAATAAAAAATTAAAACAAATCGTAAAATAAAAAGGGAGCCAGCTCCAAATTTTGGAGCAGGCTCTTTTTCAGCCTAGAGTCGGCTCTAGGACTCCTTAGACCCTGCTCTACTTGTTGTGGGAGCCGGCTCCCACTTCTATGGAGCCGGCTCTCACCTCCTTTGAGAGCCTTCAGTCCCCGGTGCTTCGTTTCAGTTTGTTTGCTCTGTCTCTGGACCATTCCTACCACTCTGTTGATTTCTAAAACTCATCTTAAGAGTCTTATAGCACTCTAGTAACACTCCCATGATTCGTTTACAGAAGTTGAAATCAAATTAAAACTAAATTTGTTACCGAAACGAAACATGTTTAGGAATAAAACTGAAACTATTTTGCAATATCAATTCCATTCCAATCCCCTCTGTTCCTCTTTACTACTGAACTTAGGAGTCTTATCTAATCCCAGTAGCATCCCAATCATTCGTTTACAGTTGTTGAAAGAAAATACAGTAACTAAAATTCCAATAGAATTTACATACTTTAAGAAAACAAAACTAAACAGACTTGCACGAATTGTAACAGATTTAATTTCAACAACGAACAGCCATCAATATAGCATATATTAACCATGTAAATTCCAGTTCCTGATTAATTAAACCCTAGAGACTATCTAGGTGCACAGAACACAAGCCAAGGGGAAGGAGGAAGAAAAGAACTTGTCTTTCGGTTTTGGTTTGAAACCTTTCAACGTCGTCTTCTTCCTAGACTTTCCGGCGATCGTGATCGCCGTTAAGGATTCCTCTGCTCCGGTTCTAACCCTCAAACAGCCCTCAAGCTTCCTCCTTAGTCCGTCTTACAATTTTTGGCTCAAACCCTACCTTCCTCTCCTTCAGTTTTTCCCTTAAACTCTCTGTTTCACTCTCTGTATTTTCACTATTCGTGAATAAGGTTCGTGCTTACAACCCTAAGCAGACCCTTATTATTTTATTTATAGGCTTAGGAAAAGATATTAACCCTAATTCTACTTTAATCGTAGAGACGGAAATCAACAATTCCTTACATCTCTAAGGCGGCTTAATTAAACAAGGCGGCTTTATTCAAACGTGACAGTAAAGAGACAAAACCCTAATAATTTAACCTATTTAATTAAATAAAATAAAAAAAAACAATTAGCCAATTAATTAAAACCATAATTAAATTACATAAAATAATTAACCAACAAAACAATTCAAAAACAACCTAAATGACAATTAAATTAATTAAAGACTAAATAATTAAATCAAATAAAAAACGAACAAATAATTTAATCAATTAAACCTAAACACATAAAACACTTAAAATAAATAGTAAAATCTCAATTATATTCTTTTTAATTTTAGGGGTATTACAGGGGGGATGGCCACCCCTGCCCCCTTCCCTCCGTTCCTGGCGATGGTGAAAGACGGTGGTAGCGGTGGTGGTGGAAGGTGTTGGCTGTGGTGAAAGGCGGTGGTGAAAGACGATGACTGTAGTTGTGGCAAAGGAAGGCAGTGTCGGTGATGGAAAACGGTAGGCGATGGTGAAAGTCGGCCGTCATGGTGGTGGAAGGCGGTGACGGAGTGGTGACGGTGGTTGTCTTATAGTATCTATATTTTGGTGTGTATGCATATGTTGGTGGCTATGGCTGAGAGAGATGGATGGAATTCAAAGGACGGAGGGCATTTTGGACTATAATTGTACAACTGTCGTCTTTCCAAACTAGTCATTTATTAAATTCCCCCTACTTTATACCCAAGCATGAGTCGTGACTTATACAGTTATACCCTCAATTACGTGATAATACTCGGTTGATGGTGTTTTAGACGGCACAAGGCTGCCATCACCTCCTATCCAACTTCGCCTGAGACGTTCACTGCCTCGATATAAGCACTCCTATTCCTGCAATGCAACCCATACCACATTCCAAATTTAGTGATAGAGAGAGAGAGAGAGAGAGTTTGTATTGTAGAGAGAGAATTGATGAACAAGAACAAGAAGACCACTGGTACTCACACTCTCTGTTTCGTGATTCACCGCAACTTCGCAATTCGTTCGCTTCGCTAATGGTTGTCTGAATCGTATGCTTGAAGATTATCTACCGATCGACATGGCCAAGACTGGGGTCAAGAGAGGGAGAGACATCGATCCAACGAAAGCTACGGAGTTGAAGGAGGAGTTGCAGAGGCTGGTGAAGGCAATCGTCGACGACGATGATGTGAACATTGACACCATCAATGAAGCCGTCGAAACTCTCTCTGCATTGAAGGATTTGAAGGTCAAGAAACCCATTCCTTTCAAACTACACAAGTCGTTGAAAATTCCAGAAGAGTTTCGTTGCCCTATTTCCCAACAACTCATCATAGATCCTGTGTCCTCTGGTCAGGTCAGTAGTTTCACAATTAGGGTTTGTTTACATTCATCTGTATTCTACGTGTTAAATTTAATTTGAAGTAAATTTCTTGTATTTGATAAAGTATTTTTGGTTCAAATTCGTTATTTGTTGTTTGTGGGAATTCAATTTTGAGTTGTGGAACTAAAATGTCTATGAATAGGTTTGTACTATCTGTTTCTAAAAGCTTGAATTAGAAGACAATTCTTGAAAGAATTGGGTAAATAATTTTGGGGTTTCTTGTTTCAAGAAATGTTAGCTCTTAGAAGACCTCAAATCACATGAATTTGATTACATTTTCAGCACTTGAATTCTTTGGTTCAGCAATTGGCCACGCTTGTTGTTGACAGATTCATTCCCGTTTGGGCACTTTTTATTATTATTATTTCCTGTTCCTTATTCTGTGTTCTAGTTCTTTAATAGCTTTTGTTGTTTTTATGATTATTATTCTGTTTTTGTGAACTCTTTGTTTCGGTTGAGCATACTTATGATAAACCATTCATCCAAAAATAGTTTGGTTAGTCTTGCAACCTCAAATCACATGAATTTGATTTACATTATGAGCACTTGAATTCTATGGTTCTGTTATTCGCCACACTCATTGGTAAATTAATTTCTTTTTAGCCAAAAGTATGCACTTTTTTTTTTTTTTTTTTTTTTTTTTCCTGTGTCTTACTCTGTGTACTAGTTTTTTATGGTTATTATTCTGTTTTTGTGAACTCTTTGTTTTGGTTGGGCAGACTTATGATAGAATGTCCATCGTAAATTTGCTAAGAAGTGGGAATCAAACATGTCCTCATACGCAACAAAACCTTTTACGTACTACCCTCAGGCCCAATCCTTTGCTTCTACGCTTGATATCACAATGGTGCCAGAATCATGGAGTCCATTTGCCGGACCCTGAGGAATATTCAGATGAGTATGTAATAACTGACGCAGATAGAAGCCATTTTCTTTCTTTGCTTGTTAAGATGTCATCGACACCTTCTGATCAGAAAGAAGCTGCAAGGGAATTGAGGTTGTTCACAACGAGTATGCCTTCATTCCGGGCACTTTTTGCTGAGTCCGAAAGTGCCATACGTGATTTGCTTAAGCCCCTCTCTCAAACCAAGTCCCAAAGTGACATTCACCCTGATCTCCATGAAGACTTGATCTCCATACTTTCGGATGTTTTAATCCATGACTACAACGAGAATCCTATTTCTGAGAACGCCTCAATGGCCCAAATGGTTATCCCTCGTCTTATTGATTCTGTCAGATCAGGAAGAATCGAAACAAGAAGCATGGCGGCTTTAGCCCTGTCCACCTTAGCGGTTCTTGACTCAAACAAGGAAATTATTGGGGAATTCGGGGCCCTAAAACCGCTAATTGACCTCTTAGAAGAAGGGCACCCATTAGCTATGAATGATGTTGTTGCTTCAGCGATTTTTAACCTTTGCACTCTGCATGAGAACCAGGCAAGAGCCGTGAGGGACGATGCTGTTAGGGTCATGCTGAAGAAAATAACGGAAGGTGTGCTTGTTCACGAGTTGTTGGATACTCTTGCTCAACTTTCAAACAATGAAATGGCGGTAGAGGAATTGGGAAAGTTGGATGCTGTTCCCTGCTTGCTTGGTATAATCAGAGAGAGCTCTTCTGCTGTCAACAATGAGAAATGCATCGTCATCCTCCACAAAATATGCTTTGGCGCCCAGCACAAGTGGAAGGAAATGATCAGAGATGAAGAGAATTCTCATAAGACGATCACTAAGCTTGCTCGGAATGGGACTTCAAGAGCCCAGGAGGAGGCCACTGCCATTCTTGAGAAGCTGAACATGACTTTCTATCTAACTCATACTATATGATGTCGTCTCTCATGCACCATTTACAAGCACAAAAGTTGTACATTACACTTCAAGGGCACAAAAATTGTACATTACACATGTCGTAGAGCTGGCAGGATAGAGCTTACTCATACCGCATGATTTCATCTCTGATGCAACATTTACAAGCACAAAAATTGTGCATTACCATATATGTTGTAACGCTATGACCCCTAATCGCAATTTAGGCATCCATTTTGTAAATTCTGTGTCCTTGTTCAAGAGTTTATAAATAGGTTTACGAGTTACAGTCCTATTCATGGTTCTTCCCTATTTCTTAGTTTCTGTACTCTTGCTTTCATATAAAAATATACTGCATAAAGGTTGAGTCAAATGTATGCAATGCATGAGCTGAACCAACTTTAAATAGCCGTAAGGTGCTCATTTTGAATCCAAATCGGGTCAAATAAGTACTTAAAATGAAGCTCTTGAAGTCTACTTTCCAATGCAATTAGTTTTACTTAAAAATTCCAATCACATAAAAATTTATTAATTCTCAAGTGAGACCAGGTCATGAATTCAAGTGAACTAATTTTACCCATTTGTTAAGTATGAATCCATTTGAACTTCAAATGAGCCTAAGTCATTCCACCAGAAATTAGGACCTTACAATATGGTTCAATTAAAACCAAGGCTTATTTTTATATTTATTTTTAAAGTTAAATTTCGATTGTATAAATGGAAGAGATCTGTACAGTCCAAGGAGTTAGCCTATAGCTAACCACAGAAACCTGAGCCCAAGGGAAACAAACCCAAGATACAAGAGCCCAAACAAGAGGCCTAACCAATCCCCAAATTTCGAATGCAAAGACCGTTACTGGACTTTGCTGACATTCCGGTAGTGAAGGAGATGAACTCCAACAAATGCTCTCTCTTCAGGAGCTAGGCATGATCAGGTGGTTTAGCTAGAGGACGAATCACCGAACCGGGGATTTCCCATTCCTCCTATTCTCGAAGCAATTAGACAATCCGAAATTGAGGATGATAAGAGCTTGGCTCTGATTGTTTCCAAGGTTTGATGGAGTAGTGAATTGGCGAGCTGTAAGGGATTTCTTCTTGTAGATCCAGCGATTGCGTTCGATTCAGGTGTGATAAAAGAGCCGACCCCAACGTTTACTAGCGAGTCGAGCCCAAACCGAGCCCGAGCTGTTCGGTTCATTTGCAGCCCTAAATCCAGGTGTGGTAAACCAAGGTTTATTGCTAAGAGCCTAGAGACCACTAAATAATATAGATGAAGTGCATTAGGTCCTAAAATTTTAAATCAATTCAAGGTAACTAAGGCCTTATAAAATGAATCAATTAATTTCATGACCTATTTTTGTATATCTAAGGACTAATTCAAAATGAAAAGCATAAAGTGCATTGGGTCATAAAGTCCACTAAGTCATGAGATAAGCTTTCAGATAAAGTTAGTTAAAAATAATACCGTTACAATTTAATCCAGCATTCACCCAATATCAATTCTTTGATCTTCAATTTCTTTAAGCTTTGGGTTGATATAAACCCATCTTGCATTTCAATGTCTTTTTAAACTTTAAGATTTCATCTTTCATCTTTCAAGTATATGATTTGTCTTGGTATTACTATTAATCTACAAGCTCTCTCAAGTTTCTTACACATTAACCTGTTTAGCATGTATAACTTAAATAGAAGTTAAATTCAACTCCGTTCATAGTTTGTTATCATCAAAATGTGTCATGTAACCTTGGTTAGATATCTTGGTTCAACAGATGATTTTAGTCATTACACCTGGTCAATTTTAGTGAAGCACAAGTCCGACTCATTTTTGATGTGGCTTCCAATCATTATTAATCTAGGGTCAAAAGAGTCTAAACCAACAATCGTAATTTTGTGAAAAGATTTAGAGGTCCTATATATTAAGTCTATGTGAACCGATAATGGGACATAATTTAATTAAATCACAGAATTGTAAAGTTTCTTTGTGTCTTGTGGTGTTGCTCACCAGCGTAGTACTTGTGGAACAAAAAAATTGGCATCTTCTTACCATGTCCAGCACTCTTCATTTCCAAAGCAAGTTACCTCTTTTACTAGTATTACCTCCTTTATACTCTCATCTTAGGGTTCTCGATTATCTCTTTTTTTATCATAACCTCTCACCACAAAGACAAATTTGATGCTTGCTCTAAATGAAGCATTTTTGTGGGTAAAAAAAATATATTTGACATCACCATTCAAATAAATTACATTGGTAGAGATTTTCTTTTTTATGAAATTTTTTTTTCCATACCGAAATGCTCAATATGATCCAATTTTGCCTTCGCCTTATATGCTTAAATATATATTTTTTATAAGTCTTATATGCTTAAATATTTTTCGTATGTAGAAATTGATTATCGTTTTGCAATTTTTTTCCTCGTCTAACGTAAACAATAGTCACTTTAATGATTCTATTTTTCCGAAAGGCATCATAGCCTTTTTTTATTTTCCACATTTTTTTTCAGTGGAAATAACAAGAATAATTGGACGTCAGAAAAGGTAACATTTTTATTATTCCACTGAAGGCCGTTATTATCAAATTAACTCATAAAACTTGAATGCAAAATGACTCAAATGCATGTCTCACTCCAAAACGCGTGACGATTTATTCTCTCCATTTTCGTAAAAAACTCCATCCATCTAGCTAACTGCTTGCACACATTAATACACAAATGACAATTAATTTTGAAAATATCTCTTACTAATTTAAGAAAGACTAGGTCACATGCATACATGATTAGGTACAGAAAATATATATTCTTTCGTTTCTCATTTGGCTGCACTATTACTTTAATTCATTATTCCATGCATTACTCCCTCTAATTTAAAATAATTAACACATAGTTTCAATAATAATGCCAAATCTCACTCACGGTCTTTCTTGCCTTAACTTTTCATTCCTCATTTACCCGAGTAGATATTGAGTGAGTGGGACAAACCAAGTCATCCGTATTGCTTAATCAATTATAATACAACTGATTGATCGAATATGGACATGATATGTCTGGCTCACCGAATATCTTTTTTATATGACCGAATATCTTTTTTATATGCAAAAACTCTAGCGTCACATGCACTTCAATCTTCTTTGCCACCCCATTAACCCTGTTCCTGATTTCTTTGCTATAAAATCACAGACAGACTTTCAGCTCTCCTCGTATTTTCTCTCTGTGTCTTTCTCAAATGGATTGTTATTGGGCTCTGCCTTTCACTGTTTTGCTCTCTTTCTCTGTCATTTATGGTGACTGCAATACCCAAACCTTCATAGTTAGGGTTAATAACAACTTGAAACCATCCGTGTTTTCTAGTGTTGAACATTGGTATAAGTCTACCCTTCAAGGCCTTAATTATTCCAACCCTTCATTAAACTCTGAAAACCCTAAAACAAGCAGTAGGGACTTTCTCCATGTGTACAAGACTGTTTTCCACGGTTTCTCTGCCAGACTCACCACACAAGAAGCAGATGAATTGAAGAAACACCCAGGTATTCTCGCCGTCTTACCGGACCGAGTTCGTCCAATTCACACCACTCGGTCACCTGAATTCCTTGGTCTCTCCCCAAATGACCCCAACGGCCTCTTAACAAAAGCACATTTCGGTGATAATGTCATTGTCGGAGTTTTGGACACTGGTATATGGCCAGAACGACGTAGTTTTCGCGACCAAGGCCTTGGACCCATCCCTTCTCGTTGGAAGGGAGAGTGTACGGAAGGAGAGAGGTTCTCCAAAACCCTATGCAACAGAAAGATAATCGGAGCGAGGTACTTCACCGCCGGTTTCGAAGCCAAAAATGGCATAATTAACGGCAGTGCGTACTTCAAGTCTGCCAGAGATTCGCTGGGTCACGGCAGTCACACGGCATCCACCATTGCCGGAACACAAGTCCCCAACGCCTCCCTCTTCGGCTTCGCAAAAGGTGTGGCCGCTGGAATCGCGCCGAAAGCAAGAATTGCTGTATACAAAGTGTGCTTGAACGGCGGTTGCTTGGACTCCGACATACTCGCCGGCTTCGACAAGGCGGTGGAAGACGGCGTGGACATCATTTCTATCTCCATCGGCGGCCTTCCGGCTCCGTACAACCAAGACGTTGTTGCCATTGGCTCCTTCGGGGCAATTGAGAAAGGAATTCTCGTCTCTGCTTCAGCCGGTAACGACGGTCCCGCGATGATGACGGTAGCAAATGTAGCTCCATGGATCACCACCGTCGGTGCCAGCACAATAGACCGGACCTTTCCGGCCGATCTTTTGTTAGCAAACGGTCAGGTTATAGTCGGAGCTTCCTTGTATAGTGGTAAGCCATTACCCAAAAACACGTATTTGCCCCTGATGAGATCGACTGCTTGTTTGAATGGATCACTGGAAAAGGATAGTGTACGTGGCAAAATCGTGGTTTGTGATGGTTGTCCGAGTGAGGTCGTAAAGGAAGCTGGTGGGGCCGGTGTGGTTGTTGCCAACGTGGCACGAGGAGATGAAAGTCTAATTGCGGAGTCTTATCCGATTCCGGGGATGGGGATCAGGCATTCAGCACGTGAAACTGTTCTGCGTTATATAAACTCTTCGACCAATCCGAAGGCAACAATCATTTTTCGTGGGACCCAAGTTGGGGTGAAACCGGCACCTGTGGTTGCCTATTTTTCATCAAGAGGTCCCAATACTATATCAAACTACGTGTTCAAGCCTGACGTTATTGCGCCAGGTGTCAACATCCTAGCGGCTTGGACTGGCCACATGGCGTTTAATATAATTTCGGGTACGTCGATGTCCTGCCCGCACGTGTCGGGGGTCGCCGCATTGCTCAAAGGGGCGCACCCAGACTGGTCACCGGCTATGATCCGGTCAGCCATGATGACCACAGCTTACACGCGCGACCACGATGGAAAGCCCTTGCTTGATGAGAATTTTTTAAAGAAAGCGACTGTGTGGGGCATGGGTGCAGGACACGTGGACCCAAATAAGGCAGTTGATCCTGGCTTGGTGTATGATCTGACGGTGCATGATTACTTGGACTTTCTTTGTGCTTCCAATTATAGCCCTCGTGATATAATCCAAATCACCCATAGACGAGTGGAATGCAAAAGGAAGCAATATAAACCGTGGAATATAAACTACCCGGCAATCGCTGTTGTTTTAAATGCATCAGGGCCGTCAAATTCGGAGGTTGTTGTTAGTAGAACAGTGACGCATGTTAGCGACGGTGCATCCAGTTACAAGGTAAAAGTTTCAAATCCCAGAGGTGCAATCATGACCGTTGATCCCCCAAAGATAGAGTTTCGACAGAGGGGTCAAAAACAGAGGTTTGTGATTCGGATTTTGGCTAGAAAATCGGATTCGCCACCTGGAATCGTTGACACTCAACTGGGTAAGTTGACGTGGACAGACGGGAAGCACCACGTCAATTCACCTGTGGTGGTCGTGTGGGAATAAATGCATGAATGATATATATATAGTTTGTGAATTTGTACTGAATTTACGAATAAAATACACGATATATATTATGATTTTTTTTTTTTTTTTTTTAACTATTCCATTTAAGATTATAAAATTATAATGTCACGTTTAAATTATATTCCCTTTTTCATTTTTTTAAATATAAATAACACACTAACAATATTGTTGTGACTCAAAGTTTCAGCCACCTAAATTAAGAACTTGGCTGTAAAATCTTTAATCTTTACTCATCAAAATTTAGAACCCAATAATAACTAATAACTATTCTCTCTTTATATATGTAGTCCAATATCCATATCTAACTTTTATACCATTAATGAAAACAATCCATTAAATCCGATTATATAAAGTCCAGTTAATAAAATTCATTAATGTAGAGTACATCCTATATTTATTCATTTTTCTAATCACATCCATTTTTTAACAATTAATTTTCACTTTCTCTAATCACACAAGTTTTTTTTTTTTCTTTTTTTTTTTTTTTAATATAACAAGGTTGAGACATGAGTTGGTGTTAAAAAAATAATAATAAATGATTTTAGTCGACGCACCTAGTTAATTTTATTGAAGTACAAGTCCAAAATTATATCATATTTAAAGTCATTCTTTGATATACTTATCAATCAATATTATTCTCGGGTCAAAAGATTCTAAACGAATAATCATGCTAATTTTTTTATCTAAAGAGTTAGAGGTCCTATTAAGTCTATGTGAACCAATAAAATGACATAATTTTTATCACATGACTATGACCCCTTAATATACATCACTTACACATTCACTTAGTCACTTTGAAAACACGAACTCTCACTGTATGAGCAGAAATTCGTCACTTATAATAAATTGAAGAATAAAAACAAAACACTCAAAATAATAAAAGCAATGCACAATAGATATTTAGAGAAATTTTTGATATCTTTCATTGTAGGCTCATGCCTCTATTTATACAAGAATAGATGACAAAATTATGGTAAGACTCGCCTACCTTGCCTAACTTGCCTTATATATTTTGTTCCATATAAAGATATCTTTCTATTCTTAGTTCTTTTCTTATACAAACTCTTCCATGTGAGGCTTTTCTCCTATACAGAGTTCTTTCCTTATACAGATTCTTCCATGTGAAGCTTTTCTCCTATACAGAGTTCTTTCCTTATACAGATTCTTCCATGTGAGTCTTTTCTCCAATACAGAGTGCTTTCCTTATATAGATTGATTCGATCATAGCTTGGTTAGTGTCTATCCGAACAGTATCTTTAACGGGCTGACAATGTCTTCTCTAGGCTGGATCGAATTGGGCTTTGAAAGTAATATGCCCAAGAATGGAGGAGTTGTAATTCATTGATGATGTGGCAAGTTCTTGTTGGTAAGGAGATTTTTCCCTCTACAGTTTGCCCCCAATTCCCTCCTAATTCGAGCAATGGTCCCTAATTAGAAAGGGAATTGAATTTGCACGGTTGCCAAAAGTGTAAGAGGCGGTTTTGGAAGTGGCTATTGACATTCTGACCAAAGAACTTCTTCAAAGTTCGCTCCTACCTTCATTGTGTTCACAGTTTCGTCATACTATCAGGTTAGTTTACATCTTTCTTATTGACTCCATATCATGAACACTTCACCCACTCACGATCACATAGAGATTATGGATTCTAAAACTACTCTTTCAACATCCCCTGTTCTTCTTAGTGTTCCTCCCCCAAAGGTTTCTAACCCTCTTGAGGTTCCGAATGATTCTACCCTAAGAGGAGATGATTCTTCGCCTGAAACGGAGGAATCCACTACTGGATCTAACGATATCTTTACCAAAGAGGAGAGGGAAACGATTTTATCAGACCGTCGCCTCAAGTTCACCATTAATTCCGTAATAGAGGAATATGAGATCCCTGAGGGGTAGTTGAATACCCAAATGACGCTGATTTTAGTTCCCTATGAGGGGGTGGGTGAGAATGAACTGCTCTTATAGGTTAGGCATCTTAATGCCCTTCGTTTTCCCCTTCATCCCTTTTATCATTTGGTCGTTAATAAGTTAGGGATTGCCCCTATCCAAGTAAACCCTAACTTTCTTATAATAGTGTCTGCTCTTTTTATCTGTCGAAGGTTAGAAGAACCTAGCTGATTTATTGTTCAATTATACTATTTCTAAGCACCAAACCGAACTTGATCGCTATTACTTCACTACATCTCTTCAACAGAGGATATGCACGGATCTTCTTACTTCTGAAAAAAGATGGAAACAGAGAATGATCATTGTTAAGGGAATTTGGTTTGTGCCCCAATCAAAAACACTTTCTATTCCTCAGAAATTTAGGATTTTAGGTATAGAGGATCTTTCTTCCTTTCATCCGGAATGCTCTGGTTGTTTCCCATGTTAGGTTTTACTTTTTTATCGTATTTATGAATTTCTTGGTGTTTTTTCATTATCATTTCCATCTTTGGTGTGTAGAAAAAGGCTTGTTTTTCTCGAGGAACAAGTTTGGAACAACCCTCCTTTTGCAGATAATCTCCTTTCTTCATCCAACCTCAAAGAGCTTGCATCTAGTGCTTCAGTGGCTGACTTCATGGACTTGTCACTTCCTTCCTTCGATGTTTTTCCTTTGACAGATGATGAAAAGAAGAGAGCTGAGGCTCTTAAGAAAAAAATTACAGAGAGTGAGCCTCTGGTGGTTGTGCGCTCCACCGAACAAGAAAAAAAGACTGAAGAAGCTCTTTTGAGGAAAAAAGCTAAGGTAAATCCTCCCTCTACTACCAGAGGTAAAGGCATTAATCTTGCAAAAAAAAAAAAAATAGAAGAAGACTGGCGAAGTTAAAGTTGAGGAAGAAGTTCAAGCTTTTGTCTTAGCAGAAGTAGGGGAACCCTGGAAGCCAACTTTTTCAAGGGCTGATACATCAGTTCTTCATTCCGGTGATTCCGTGATTACAGACCCTTCAGCTGTTGTGATACCCCTCGGATCTGAGACACGGGTTGATCAGGCCCAGGCCCAAACCCGTGGGAGTATCAAACAATTAATATGTTATAGCGAACACAGAATACAAAATGAATTAAGAAATGAAAGTTTAAAGCTGAAAAGAAACTAAAAGATAATCCTTAAATAATTAAATACTTAAATTTGATAAACCAAATATCCATAATTTGAACAACTCGGGAATCCATCTCTAGTGGACCCCTAATAAAAATCTCACATTAAAAGAAAGTAAAAAGAAAGATAAAACCCAAATCCAAGATCTGGAAAGAAATCCTACATCGTCGGTAGAATGGAAGATCGTCTCTGCACAGCACGAACAAGCTCAAGCCTGGAACTGACGTACACCTGAAAAATAGGAGTGGGTCAGGCCCACGAACAAGTTCTATCCTACTACAATCCAAGCAGAGACTCGATACGCATGTACATTCTAACCAACTCAACATTAGCTAATAGTCTGTATGTATATATATATAATCACACTAAAGGACTCTCACTGGACTACAGGCCGGTCTCAACCTGAATAGAGGCAACATGCAAAACGCACACAAAGTGGGCATGTGTACCTAAGCCTAACAGGGTACACCTCCAACCATCATAGCCAGCTATGCATCCCAATGCATATACGCTCCCTAACCGTCGATCCTGATACTCAAGCTCATATCGAGGTACCATAAAAATATATCTAAAATCCATCCAGAATCCATTGACACTACAAATCCATAGGATTTCACCTTTAGTCAATCCATTTCCTTAATCCCAGAATAGGTAGGACTTAGCGGTTTTTGAGCTAATCCCCCTTGTATGCCCCCGTCCCATACCGGTGCATACATTCCATCCATCCAGTAGTTGATAATACAGACCATGCATGTAAATATCAACTGATCCATAAATCCAACAATTTAGAATAAAAATATTAAACTAGACATTCAATTGTTCCATAAAAAGCATACAAAAATTATGTAATTTAATATGCTGATTTTCAAACTACGCAACCATAATCTAGTAACTGGTGATATAACAGTATATGTAATTATCAATTTATCCCAGAATCCATATTATTGAGAGAACATGAATAAATATCTACCTCAATTGATTCCATAGCAAGCATAATGAACATTGACAAATTATCATGCTTATATCACCAATCCAACAATTGATGCGATAAATGCTGAAATTTAAACATCAATTACTCCTTAACAAGCATAGTAAAAATATATAGATTTTAACAATGCTTATTTTATACCATTAATACATGACTAGAATTTGATAATCATTTATAGAAAATTCCTACAACAAGTTAAGCAACTTAAACCACTTGCATTCCCTAACAGTTTACAACTTTGTTTAGAATTGGTTATTGTTCAACTAATAAACCCCAAGTGGTTTATTAACCATTCCCACACCCTCTGGAGCTTTAATATAACCTTAAAACTCATTTAGGTTCCCATGTACAGTCCCTGAATGTTCCAAACAGATCAAAAACTCAGCCAAGAAGCAAAATTCGTCAAAAATTGCATCAAAAGGGGAAGGAGCCGCCTCCCCCACATAGGGAGCCGCCTCCCCCTTGTGTGGAGCCGGCTCCACTCCATGTGGAGCCGCCTCCACACACCCTAGAGCCGGCTCCACCTTGTGTGGAGCCGCCTCTTCCTCCTGTTCCCCTCTCTGCTTGCGTTCCTTCTTCAGTTTCATCTCCGGCGACCCCCAGTTTGATCTGTCCTTAACTCTAAAGGTTTCTCTTGACTAAAACTAGGTTTCTAATGTTCCATATAATTTAAAACTCATTAATCTTCAATCTACTTGAATCAGAACAGGAAATAGCAAAGATGAGTTATAACAAGAAATCTCGAAGCATGTAAACACATGCGGTTCGAAACGAACCTACCATACAAACCAGATCTCTGTTATTACTTCCCAGTGTGTTACAGACTAATTCAACACTGTTCACGTTAATCTACATGAATTAATTCAGGAGTTACGCAGGAAAGAATCCGAAACAACCAATACGTAACATGTAACCACAACCAGTTTTGTTTTTCATTCAGACAAGCCATCCGGTTTAATATTAATCTTTATTAGTCCTGGAGTTGCATTAAACATGTAATGAACACAAGTCTAAGGGAGAGAGTTAGGAATAGAACTTGCCTTTTGCCTTTAGCCTTGCACAGTCGTCTTCCTACTTTCTCCGGCAACGTCCTACTGAAATCCTCCTCTGTTTTCTCTTTCTACCTCCACTGTCGTGAATAGTTTATTTTTTCTAAAACC